AATTAGAAGGACAGAAAAAAGGTTGCTCAACCCTTACTAAAGCTAAAAAAGGAATCTCATTTTGTGATGAAAAAAGCATGCAGGGGCCGGCCCGTGGCTCACTCGGTAGAGTGCGGTGCTGATAACACCAAGGCCATGGGTTCGGATCCCATATAGGGATGGCTGGTTCGCTCACTGGCTGAGCGTGGTGCTGACAACACCAAGCCAAGGGTTGAGATCCCCTTACCGGTCATCTTTTAAAAAAAAAAAAAAAAAGCATGCAACTAATGGTCAATAGGAGGGAGGGAAGGGGACTGGCTGGTTGTTCAGTTGGTTAGAGTGCAGTGTTGTAACATCAAAGTCAAAGGTTGGATCCCCATACTGGCCAGCCACCAAAAAAAACTAGGGAGGGCGGAGGTAGGGATAGAAGAGAAAAAATTCCAAAAGTCCCAGGGGCAGATTAACTCTGCCCCTCCCATCAAGGGGAAGGCCTTTGCCACCTTGCCTTTCAGCTTGTCCTCTCCCCGTTTCCTTTTTCTCTTCACTCAGTTCTGTGGAGCTGTCTCATAAGAGTTTCAGGCAAGGCTCAGAAGAGTACAACACACAAATACCCCAACCCCAGCTGGGACCCTTCCTCCTCTAACTACTGAGGTTCTTTCCCAGGCTACTCAAACACAGTTCTCTAGTACTCCCAGAGGAAATGTTCTAGTCTGTCTTGTTTCCAGCCATCTCTGCACCTCCCCATCAACTGATGTGACTGATGGTTCCCTAGGATCAGACTGCCATGTTTCACACATGCCTTGTTTTGAACTGGTTTTGTACATTCCTCCCTCAAATCCTTTCTTTTTTTTTTTTTTTTTTTTTTTTAAAGATGACCGGTAAGGGGATCTCAACCCTTGGCTTGGTGTTGTCAGCACCACGCTCAGCCAGTGAGCAAACCGGCCATCCCTATATAGGATCCGAACCCGCGGCCTTGGTGTTATCAGCACCGCACTCTACCGAGTGAGCCACAGGCCGGCCCTCTCCCTCAAATCCTTTCTATCTTCACACTTCAGCCCTGAAACACCCTCCTCTTGAGTTTTCCCCAATCTCCTAGATCAAGGGTCCCAAAATCAGATTGTGCTGGCTACATTGAGGTTAACCCAAACTGTTTCTCTCTCTTGTTGACAGACTTAGACTTAGGTACTTTCCTGAGGCTTTATATTTCCTGTAGAAGATGCCTCCTGCCCTTTAAAGCTGACATCTCCTCATCACCTGCCTGTGACAAATTAGCACCCTCTAACTTCCCACCCAGCTGCCTCTCAGCACCAGAGATGGTAGATTTGAGGAGTGTTGGGAGGGGAGAGGGTAGGAACCCCTACTCCCACCACACACACATCTCCCCAAACCATAATCTGTACTCTAGCATGATTTTCCAGTTCGTTTAGAGGAGAGGTCTCCCTGCTTCAGTTCACTCTGGTGGGGGAGGATGTGAAAATGAAGTCTCTATTTTTAAAACCAGGGAGAGGGGGAGAACAAGAAATGAAAGATCTGGTTGAAGAAAATCTGGAGGGGAGCTTCACTTTGCATTTTGTTCTCACTCTGTCTGTCCCATCACCCTTGATATCCATCTAGATGCTCCAACCATATTCTCGTCTTACAGGTTTCCAGAGAGGGTGGCTTAAGGGTGAGACACTCATGCACTGGGCCAGCAACTGGGTTCCTGTGCTCTGCTTCACTCCTAGTTCCAGAAGTTGAACCTGGAGAGGTGAAGGGTATGTTAAAACTCTCCATCAGACCCACCCCTGCAGCTGTGAGCACCTGCTTACAGGGAGGCCTAGGGGGGTTGGGGAAGTCTAGGAGCTAAATTTAGTCCAAAGGCTGCACTTAAATCAGGTGGGTATTTACCCTGAGGAAGCTGGGAGGGGGGAGGGGAGAGGAATCCTGACCCAGCTGAACTTCTGAGACATTACAGTTCACCAGCGAGTACACTGATACTAGAACCACAATCCTCCTCCCCCAGCAAACACTCAGAAATGAGTCCTCAACAATTTGCTGGCCTTTTGCATGCTTGAGCTCTCCCGTGCATATGAAGTTTGTTCCTGTCACCACCCCACCCCCATCTCAGTTCTCAGGGGTCCATTTCCTCTGAGTCCTTCCCTAAATTTCCCCCAATGCACCAAATCCAGGGGCCCCTCTACCACACCTCTCTGCCCTTGGGTTATAGTTTCCTCTCTCCCAAGTCCCTCCAGAGGGTTTCAGAGGTCAACAAAGAGATGTCTTGGGCCGGCCCGTGGCTCACTCGGGAGAGTGCGGTGCTGATAACACCAAGGCCCCGGGTTCGGATCCCATATAGGGATGGCCGGTTTGCTCACTGGCTGAGCGTGGTGCTGACACCACCAAGTCAAGGGTTAAGATCCCCTTACTGGTCATCTTTTAAAAAAAAAGAGATGTCTGGCTACACTACTCCCCTCTAGGGGCCCAGGAAAAGGGGTTTCTTGGGGTCAGGTTCCCCTTCCTGAGAACTTCCACATTGACTCATACTGTCCTCAGTGACCAGAGGAAGGAATCCAAAAGGGCTCCACTGAATTCTAGCTTTAAAATGAGAGGAAAAAAGGAGGCAACCCCCCCAGATGAGAGCCCACCTCCTGAGAAGTCAGATGTTGGAGGCCGTGAGGGAGCTCAGGGTCTATCAGAAGGAGAAAGGAGGTGCTGAAGCTGGGATAACCCTAAGAGGAGATGTGGCTGCATTCTCCACCTGTGATTGGTTCTCAGGCTCAGGCCAAACTCCAAACCTGCCCAGCAACAGCCCTAAAAGGCCGGAAGTGGGGGGAGGGGTATGGACTTCGGAGAAGTCAGCTGAGCTGGGCCTCCACCCAGCTCTCAGCTTCCAGGAATTGCTGGGAGGGCCCCAGCCATTCACCACCACCCCTCCCTTGGTCTTAGGACTCTCTTCCTTCAGTCTTCTGTATCTATGGGGCTGGTTCAAGTCTGGCTTCCCCACCTCTTTGATTCCCTTTACAGCTTCACCGAGAGGTACACATCTAGCACCTCCTCTTTAGGCTGGGCAGAGACGACGAGTCTGGGCTTTCCTTGTACCCCTCTTTCCTCACTCCCTACCCTGGGCTAAAGTCAGTTTAATGTTCCTTTCCTTTTGCCTCCTTCCTCACCCGCTCTTCCCAAGATGTCTTTCCACCACATCTCCCTGCCTCTGGGTTACAGCTTCCTCTCTCTTAAGTCCCTCCAGAGGGTTTCAGAGGTCTACAAAGAGGTGTTTCTTCTCTAGGGGGCCAGGAAAAGGGGTTTCTTGGGGTCAGGTTCCCCATCCTGAGAACTTCCACACTGACCCCATACTGACCTCAGTGACCAGAGGAAGGAATCCATAGGGAAATTCTTCCTTCTCACCCACTTCCAACCCAAGGAAAGACTAGTCCCAAGGCAACAGTATATGACATGAGGGAGGCTGCTAGAGAAATCCTGTCTCCTCAGGCAACTCTGGTGTCCTTTACAGGGTTCAGGTGTGCTCAGAAAATGGTAGTCACTGAATTAAACTGTTTCTGTAGGCCCTTTATTAATGGTCTTACTCAGCTAGATTTGTGGAGATGCAGAGATGGGGGAGAGCTGCTTCTAGTGGAGAGGGGAATCTGCTTCTGTTATACTGTCCCCCTTCCTGTGAAGCCAGGCTTCAGAATTGTAGGAGTCAGGGAGAGGATATGTACTATGGAAAAGGCCGTTCCCTCCCACACCACCTCTAGCAAGTTATTTACCTTGAGAGAAGAAATGGGCGGGGGAGGGAGGAGACTGTGGTGAGACATTTCTGAAAAATGTGTCTTTGCTGGACATCCTTTATTGTCTTGGCTCCTCCCTCAACCCTGTCCCAAGTTCCCTAGAGCCAGGCCAGTCTCCTCCTCCTCTAGCCATTTTCTCTGAGGAAGGGATTTGGGGGCGAAAATCATTTCCCTTTCCCTCACCCTATGAAAAGCAATAAACCAAGAGCTTTTTGTTTTTTGTCCTTTTTGAGACCGGCCGCACCGCGCACCGCGCTCAGCCAGTGAGCGCAGTGAGCCCACCGGTCATCCCTATATAGGATCCGAACCCGCGGCGGGAACGCTGCTGCACTCCCAGCGCCGCACTCTCCCGAGCCCAAAACCAAGAGCTTTAAATAGGGAAGTGGGTAATAGTAGAAAGGATGGGGGAAACAGGAATGCAGAGTCGAAGAAAGAGAACAGGAAAAAAAAAAGACACAGTCGTTCCCCACCCCAAAAGCCAGCTGCCATTCACTCAGCCCAAAATTGAAAGGAGTACTACTGTTTTCCAAGAGATTTTACAGAAAGACAGCCTACCAAGAAACCCACCACAAGGCCATGCGTTTTCCCCTTAGCTCTGCATCGGTGCTCCCAACTCCACACCTAAATTGGGAGACGTGGTGACCTCTAGTGGCCAATGACCAACCTGCAGGGTCCAGGGTTGGCCAGGATCCTCTCCCTATGACTGAGGCTCTTTTTTTTTTTTTTTTTTTTTTTTTTTTTTTGTCCATTTCTGAAAGAAAAGACAATTAGAATTCTGATAGTGCTTGTACTGAATCTATATATCCATTTAGGGAGAATTGTTATATTAATTGCAATATTAACTCTTTCAGTCCATGAAGGCAGGAAGTCTTTCCATTTATTTTGGTCTTATTTAATTTCTTTAGAATCTTTTTTTTTTTTTTTTTTAAAAGATGACCGGTAAGGGGATCTCAACCCTTGGCTTGGTGTTGTCAGCACCACGCTCAGCTAGTGAGCAAACCGGCCATCCCTATATAGGATCCGAACCCGTGGCCTTGGTGTTATCAGCACCGCACTCTACCGAGTGAGCCACGGGCCGGCCTGACTGAGGCTCTTGATCTCGGGTGATTTGGGCTCACTGCAATAGCCTTTCTGGGCTCCTACTCTCTCCTCCTGTGCTAAGTGCTGTTCCCCTTCCCACCCTGCATTCTGACCTCACACTGCTTAGGTTGCCCATATGTCTGGGTTCCCATGAGGACAATGAAGAGCCTGTTTCTCATTTGTCATAATCATCTTTAATCAAAAATAAATTAGTTCTGGGGTGGGAGCCATTTTAGGGAGTGGGGACAGGGGCTAAGGTGTCTTATGCCAACATTTCTCTTTTCAACCCTCTGCCCAGCTGGTCCCTGCTCTGGGGAGGGAGTCTCTCTTCTTGGGTTAAGGCAGGATTGGCAGTAGCTGACCTCCATCCCTAGCTAATAAGGGAGGTAGGAATAAAAAGATTAGGTAAAGGGAGAAGGGGCCAGAGACCAAAGGGTGATTTAGAAGATGTAAGGCCTGAAATAAGAGATGAGGTTTGAGGTCTAGGGCACAAAATTGGAATTGATGGGTAGACTACACTCTAAGTAGCTCAGATTAGCAAAGAACTGCAAACTTGCTTTTCTCTCAGCCTAGAAAAGATTCGGAAACAGGCATTGTCCTCTCCCATTTCTTCTTCTCAGTCTGTGTAACTTTTTTTTTTTTTTTTTGTCTATGTAACTTCTTTTTGAGAAATAATACACATGTATGAGCACACATGCATCCATGCAGGCCCAGATACACATCTGTGGGCATATGTGCACACACACCACCACACCACCACATAGACCCAACCACACATCTTGATAGTCAGTGTCAGTGACCTTGCCATTGTCAGTCATCCTGGAAGACATCTCTGGTGATACTAGGACAGGCTGGAGAGCCAGGGGTACAGAGAAGGCTGATAGATGGGTGACTGATGGTGGCATGAGAAAACCATGAGGAGAGGGTCTCCTGGGTCCATTTCAGGCAGGCTCCGGGGGGGACCGCTCCAGGACATGAGCACAAGAGCGGCAACAGGTGGCTGTGTAGTAGGGGTAGACACAGAGCCGGGCCTGTACCACCAGGGGGCAGTGTGGAGAGCTGTCCTTGCATTGGTCATCTGGGGACAGAGGAGGCCAGTGGGCACAAGATGGTCACCAAGATCCATCTGGAGGTATGTTGCCCACTCCCACTGGTCCTTTCTCATCTCTGCCCATACTTCAGCTAACTCCATTCTATTGAGGGTTAGGGAGAGAGAGCTCTTTACCAGGGCGCTGGCTGCAGGGTTGGCTGTTACAAGGTCGTTTCCTGGACGGTCGCAGGTGAGAAGGGCATCGCGTACTGAGGGTCTGGTTGGCACTCAGGCACTGGACCTCCCTTGTCTGCATGCCCCCCTGGCAGGAGTGAGAACACTGGGGAGACCCCGGCTATTGTATCAGACCTTTGCCATGCCCCAGGCTCCTCCTTAACCCCAGGCCGCTGCATCCCTCTCTGAAAGGTGGTGGTGAAAACTCTTCCGGACATTATGAAATCCCAAATGGAGAAGGCCCACCTGTCTTCCAAGTCTACATGAAAGGGATATTGTCAAACCTCAGCTGGGCTTATTCTAGGGCACAGAGAGACTTGGTGGGGGTTCAGTGAGAGGAACCCCCCTCCCTTTGCTGGAGGCCCAGGCTGAGCCAGAGACTCACCGGACTCCAGGGTGTAGAAAACCATCGGTCCTGGCAGGCCTGTCCTTGACAGGGCTGCAGGGAAGGGGGCCTGGGCAGGTGGGAACAGTTGCTAGGAGAAGTCACGTTGAACTCAGTCCTCAGTTTGGACACACAGATGATGTCTCTACGCTGTGTGCCAGGGCCACATTCTGAGGAGCACTGAAGAATAGGGGAAGGGTTGGGTATATGAGGGAATGATAAAACAGATCCCTCCCAGTTACCCACATGGAACTCCACTGGGACTGGCACCCTCTTCCTAGCCCTGTTCCCAGCTCTCAGCTCACCTCACTCCAGGGCCCTGTGTACCAGCACCATGTCATCTCACAGGGCCCCAAGCTGCAGGCACGCATGTCAGGAGGGCGGCTTCCTGGTGGACAGCTGTGCTCACTTGTTCCTGCTCCTACTTCCTCCTGGTCCGCCCTGAGGGCCTCCCCACTCCCGAGGCAGACCACAGAACGTCGCTGGATTCCTGTCCCACACTCAGCTGAACACTGTTCAGAAGTAGAGCAGTCTATGTGAAGGGAGGCTGCTGGTGACTGGAATAAGGGGAGGGAGGGGCTCAGGGATGGAAGTGTCCTGGGTCTTGATTCTGGGAGTTTGGGAATGCCCCAGGTAAGGGGCATCTTTGCTGAGAATCCAGGACCCTAATTTAAGTTTTTTTCACTTATCTTTGCATTCCCAGTGTCAAACACATAGTAGATGCTTGCTCAACAAATGTTTATTGAGCTGTGCTGGAAAGGTTCTGAAAGGATGTCTTGGTGTGGTGGTCACCAGGTATATGGGACTTGGCTAAGGGGATGTGGGGCCCACCTTGGAGCTCCAGTCGCTGTGGAACCAGGCTGTGGTACAGGGCCCCATGTCACAGGCCTCTCTGCTAGGGGGCGGCGGGGGACCTGAAGCACACTCCTGTTCACTCACTTCATCACCATTGTTTCCAACACAGCGAACTTGCCGGCTCCTCTGTCCCCGCCCGCACCGCACAGAGCACTGAGGAGCAAGGAGGAAACCCAAGGAGCTGGATGAGGCTTTCTATCCAGCTGCCAACTCTACGGCTTTTGAACCAGGATCTGCCTTTGAGCCCCAGCTCATCAGTTATATGGCTTTATACACTGAGGAGGAGCTGAGCATGGGGCTCTGGGCCCCCAATCCCTGGTTCAGTCTCTTATATGACTTACGTATTGGGATTCCATATGAGATACTTCTCTGTAAAAAGTTACTGCTGATGGGCTGGCCTGTGGCTCACTTGGGAGAGTGTGGTGCTGATAGCACCGGGGCCACAGGTTCGGATCCCATGTAGGGATGGCCGGTTAGCTCACTTGGGAGAGCATGGTGACAACACCAAGTCAAGGGTTAAGATCCCCTTACCAGTTTTTCTTTTTTTTTTTTTTTAAAAGATGACCGGTAAGGGGATCTTAACCCTTGACTTGGTGTTGTCAGCACCACGCTCAGCCAGTGAGTGAACCGGCCATCCCTATATGGGATCCGAACCCGTGGCCTTGGTGTTATCAGCACCGCACTCTCCCGAGTGAGCCACGGGCCGGCCCTACCAGTCATCTTTAAAAAAAAAAAAAAAAAAACTGGTAGGGGGATCTTACCCCTTGACTTGGTGTTGTCAGCACCACGCTCAGCCAGTGAGTGAACCGGCCATCCCTATATGGGATCCGAACCCGTGGCCTTGGTGTTATCAGCACCGCACTCTCCCGAGTGAGCCACGGGCCGGCCCTACCAGTCATCTTTAAAAAAAAAAAAAAAAAAAGTTATTGCTGATGAAAACGAAGTGAGAAAACCACTGTTCTAGTTCACTGGTGCCCAATTCTCTAAGGTCCTCTTCACCCTCTCAGAGCCCCCTTGCCTAGGCCCAATCACCTGGCTCCAGGGGGAGCCAACCTCCCAGTGGCCACAGGGGTGCAGCTGACAAGGCTGGGTGATGCTGGGCCGGGGGAGATGTCCACAGCGCTCTGGAGGAACTGAAGAGCCACCCCCTCCAAACTCCTGCCGGCAGTGCAGCTGACGGTGCTGGGTGCCAGGGCCACAGGAGCGGCTGCAGGACGTCCATTCACCAGCCTCCCAGCTGTGGACATGGGCAGTGTTGGGAAGAGGGAGAAACACAGACGACATGGGTGGGTCTGCCATGTGGGGGGAGAGGGAAGACACATAGGGTGTAGAGAGCACTCAGAGGAGAATAGGCATATTTAGGGCTTGGAGTCTGAGTTCCTTGTGGGGGCCCAGGCTGCCAGGATTGTCCTGCTGTCTACAGAACATCAGCTTTTCTAATCTAACATTGTCTCTCTGCAGCCAGGAGATGCCGTGTTGAGTGCAGAATTCAGGTAAGACCCTGTGGGCATCGAGGGTGTGTTTGTCCCAGGGGCAAATGTGTTTCTGATATCCTACCCCTCCCTGTGGGTCGTACTCACTATGGGGGGCACGGGGGACCGTGGCAGGGTTCAAGGGAGGCTGGGGGCCTGGCAGCCCTGGCACAGCTGTCTTCATCCAGTTCCTCTCCCGACTCACGAGAAATGCAGAGGAAAATGGGGTGCCAAACACCTGAAGGGGGTGAGAGGGCAGCCAGGGGAGGCAGGATGGCCCAGAGTGCAGTTTCAATGGGGTCCCAGACACAGGGTCAAGGTGTGGCCCCACAATCCAGGATATGAGATCAGGAGTGTTGAGCTGGGGATTTGGGCTGAGGGTGCCAGGAACAAAGGCACGAAGCCTCACCTTTTCCACAAGATGCCGAGCACTCAGAGTGTCTCACTCGTTTCCAGTATCCGGCTGGAGACCCCAGGGGCATCCTGGAATGGGGCAGGGCAGGCACCTGGGGGATCCGCACCTGACGCTGGAGGGTGCCTGGGGTCCGGGCTGGGCGGGGCTCCACCCTCAAAATCTCTGTGCAGGGGTAGAGGCAAATCAGATGCCTCCCACTGCCTCAGAGCTCTCCCTGCAGCCTCACCTTCCTCCTTCCAGGTCTAGGGACCAGAGTCTTACCAGGCTGAAGTAGGGGGATGGGGGGCTCTGTGGTGGGGCTCTCCTGGATTGGAGGAGGTGAAGAGATGACATACTGATAAAAAACACCTGTGTTTTCTTCTTGAAAGATCATCTGGAGAGAAGAGAAAGTAATGAATGTTTCAGGGTGGCAAGAGGGGCATATCACCAGCCCTCTCTCCCATCTTGATACCCACAGCTTTGCTCTTAAATGGAAAAGCCTCCCTCCCCAGCAATCCAGCTTCCACAGGCCCCAGGCTCACATAGACATCCACAGGCTGGGTTGTGGGGCCTTCGGCTGACAGACTCTCCCCCTTGCCCTCCTCCCGAGGAGGACGCTTATACTGGAAGACAGTCCCACCAGCTGTGTAGGACCCAGGGGGGTCCACAGCCCAGTTCCCATTGATGATGGACCGGCCCCCAGGACCTCGAAGTGCTGGAGGTTGGAGATCAGGAAATTCAAGGTTAGTCATACCGTCCTCCTCTCCCACTGCTTCCTTCAGGAGCATCCCACCCAGAGCCTAAGATACCCCAAGCGATCTCATCTTCCTCACTCCCTCCACAAGGGGAGGGAGAAGGCCGTTGACTTCTCCCTGCTTGTTTGCTGTGCTGAATGGGGGCATGGAGGGCAGAACAAAGAGTCCAGGACTCAGGGAATCTGGGGTGCTCACCAAGGTAGTTGGAGCTGGGCCGGAGCTGGGCAATCTGGAGCCGGGAGGCTCCAGCAGGAATCCACAGGATCTTCTGATAACCCAGAGGGCCCCCCCTGTCGGTGAGGTTCCCCGAAATGAAGCGACAGGTAGAATCATCACCCCCACAGACTCCACAGCCATCCGGACGCCTGCCAGAGCCAAGTATCCCATCACAGCCAGGGCTCTAGGGAGAGTGAGGTGAGGCAGGGGCCACACGAAAGCCAGACACCACCTCACATCCCACCCTGGTCCACTTGGGACCCTCAGCTCACCACATGTCTTGCTCTTTGTGCTACAAATGAGAGCGTGTTTCTTTGGCAGCTCCACCATCCCCAGCCAGGCTCAGGGAAGCGTATGTGTGCCTAATAGCATCCCTCCTACAGTTCACCTCTTGGCTCTGCTCAGCCCAGCTTGGCAGGTGAGAACTTTCCCCTTGGCGATTTTAGTCTGTTTGGTGTTTTGTTGTTGTAATGACAAATGCAAGCAAGACACTGTGGTGTGTGTGTGTGAGGGCACACACACACTCCATCCTCTCTCACCAGACAGCGTCCAGCCACACAGATGTCTGGGGCTCCAGGCTGACACAAGGTCCCATCTTGGACCTTTTCAGTGTGACGGACATAGAAGCGGAAGCCACGGGGACGGCAGTTCAGTTCACAGCGCTGGGAGCCCTGAACTAAGGGACAGGGTAGAAGGGTGGTTAGCTGAGTCCCTGATGGCAGGTTAACTGGGTTAACTCCCCAGGGCCCTGATAGTAGCTTTGCTTATATTAGCTATGGGGCATCCTGAGCTTGCCTAGGTCACCATGGAAGACAGGAACATTGACAATTCCATGCACTGAAAGGTAGGTCAAGTTAATTGAGAACACTGAGACCATCAAGGGGGTTCTGAATTGAGAGAGGAGAGATCCTTGATACCTATGATTATGTGAGTTCAGAGCTCATGAGGACTTGTCTTGGTGTCAAGTTGACACAGACCTAAAATCAAGTGGATGGTAACTTGGGAACAATTGATATGATACCAGCCAGGATCCATGGCACACCCCCACCCTGCTGTCACTATTTACTGATCAGGATCTCTCCAACAATGACCTTCTCATGTTACATCTACCCTGCCTCCTGGGATGGACTTCTTCCCTGAGAAAGCCAGCCAAAGGGCACCTCTGGACACCTCTCTCTCCCAGCCTGACCCCTCTACTGACCATCCACCACCATTTGACAGCTAAAGGCCCTGTCTGAAAGGCCATTCAATTTTCTGAGCGTGTGCTAAGTCCTGGGGAGTTAGAAAGAAGGTTTGGCACTAGGAGAAATAGAATGGCCTACATGGAGAAACAGAGAGGCTGGAAATCTTTCAGGGCTGGGAGTGAACAGGTGAGTGCCTCTCCCCATCATCCCCAATCCCAAGCCACCACAGCCCAATGGTAGGCTAAAAACCTCACCTTCGGTGAAGGGCTCCCACTGGTACAGCTGGCCCATAAATTCCTGGGAGTCAAAAGCTGCACACTGCAGGGCCCGGGGATCTGGCTGCTCAGGGGGACAGGGCTGAGGTGGGGGGATACAAAGGAGTCAGAGCTGGGGGAGGAAAATGGGAGTGTGGGTCAGGAATGGATTTGGAGAGCAAGGGGGAGGGTCAGGTCTATGGAAGAGCTCCAAGGCCCCTACCCTGAGTAGGTCAGATGCAAAGGCCCTTCTCCCTCAGGTCCAAGTCAGACAAGCTGAGGACCCAGGCTCAGTGTCAGGGAAGCAGAATTGGAAATCTGGGTTGGGGAGAGAAGGTCCAGGGAAGAACTCACCACTTGGCTGCAGGCTCTCAGCTGCTCACTCTCTCCAGAACATCTTGGTACAGAGCTGCTGGGAGCAAAGAGGCTCCAGAAGGAGCTGGAGTGGGGTCCAGCCCTCAGGAGAGGCAACCAGCCATCTGGGTTGTGAGGGGCAGACTCCATGAGGGACCTGGGAAGATTTCCCCCAGGTCTCCAAAGCCCCTGGCTCTGCTGGCCTTGGCCCCGAGGGACAGAAGGAAAAGGATCAGGGTGTCTCTCTGCTACTCGGGGACTGGCCCAACCCTGGGAACTTGGCATTCTTGGCTGAGAGGATATGTGGGAGAGGCCACTTTCTTCTGAGGAGGGGGTGGGCAAGGGGGGCTCCATGCCAGAGGCCTGGGCTCTGGGGTGGGGCTGTGTGGGGGCAGTCCTGGTGCTGGGGATCACCTCTGTTTGAGTAGTTTCAGGGCTTGGGGTTTCTGGGGTAGATGGGATGTGGGCAGACAGTTCTGTAGGAGGGAGCTGAGTTTGGGGGCCATAGTTTGTAGAGGACGGCTCTGTTCTTGGAGTCAGAGATGGAAGGGGTTCTTCCCCTCTAGAAGAGGTCTGAGAGAACTCAGATCTGGGTGGCCTCCGGGGGTGCCTGCGGTTCCGATGCAATGGTAATGCAAAGGGCACTCTCCCATACCCAAACATTCCTGGCTTGATGGGGTCTCGAACCCGGGACCTGAGAAGGTGTTACAGACATGAGGTCACAGCTTTGGCCATCTCTGACCCTCTCTCCCCAGTCTACTTCCTGGCACTAAAGATAAGCCTCCCTAAGCCTTGTGTCCTTTGCTCCCCTTTCCTTCATACCAAACCCCGCCCCTTGCCCAAGGCCTGTCCATCCCTTCACAGCCTCACCTCCTGGCCCCTTGAATCTCCTGGGTCTCCACTCTCCCTAGTTGGGAAGCAGGATCTCGAAGTGGGCCACCCCTTCCCCGAGGCTGTGGCCTGTACAGGGGGAGGATTTCTCGGGAAGTCTGGGGTCTGGGGCTCTGACCCCGGGGGAGGAGGGCTTCTGGATGTCTTGGGGGCCTTGGAGGGAGAGGCAGGACTGGGAGGAGTTGAGCTTTAGGGAGCCGACATGTCCGACTCCTGCGCTGCACCCCCACCCCACAGGGCTGGGAGCAAGAGGCCCACTGGTCCCAAGGTCCCCAGACACCCTCAGGGCCTTGGCCCTCCTCTGGAGGTGTCTGAAGAGAGTGTCCAGACAACACCTATATAGAGAAAAAGGTCAGACAGAATTAGGATGATTTTAGGAAACTGTACAGAGTATCTATCTTAGTCCAAGGCACAAGGAGTTGTTACTGGCCCAAGGCCACATTCAGCAGTAGAGGTAGAACTAGAACCCAGCCTTCTTGACGTTATTTGGCAAGGAGTTAGGGATTCGGCAGGGAGGCTGGGTGGTCTGAGTGTGAGTTAAAGGGGCCATGACTCAGCAGAGGTTGTGGGAAATGGAGGCCTGGCCTGGAGAGGTGGGGTAGGAGATCAGGGGGAGATGAAAGGATCACAGGTAGGCAGGCGGCAGCTGCTCACTTGTCCAGGGCTCACCTCCTGATCCAGGTAGAGATGAGGGAGGGATAGAAGGAGCATCAGACACAACCAGGACCTAACAACCAAAGGCAGGAGGCGGGATGTCAGACTGGAGCCAGAGGAGGTGTTATGGCACCGCCCTCCACCCCCCCAGCCTCAGCAGGCTCCCCACATCCTGACTGCCAACTTCTCAAAAAGCAGAAGTCACTCATCACTTCCCCCACTCCTCCCAGTGATCCCCCATCCTCACTTCCAGGGACAGAGCCATCCCTCTACCCTGGCAGTCCCTCTTACCTGCTTGCCCACTTCTCCATAGCTCCTCCCTTGGTTGCCCCAGGACAAGGGAGGAAAGGACTGGACATGAACACTACCGTGGCATCTGGGTGTGGAGGGGTGCACTCTGCAGGAACAGAAGCCTGGTGGTTACCTCTCTAGTCTGCAGAAAGCTAGGGGATTGGGCGGGATGACTCCTCAGAAGGACATCTCAGGATGGAGGGGTGGAGGAAGACTGGCCCACCCCTTTATGATCCTAAGGGTGGGAGCAGGAAGGAATGCTGCCTTTGTCCATCTGCTGAGACTAGAGGGGGGGGGGTCTGACCTCAGCCCCCTCCCAGCTCATTCCCCTCCCCTTGACCCTGTTGGAACTTTCTGGCTCCTACTTCTCCCCTCCAGAGGTACCTGGAAAGTTGAGGGAGGCTTGTGTGAGGATATGCCAGATCGCCTCCTAGCTCATTCCCCTCCCCTTGACCCTGTTGGAACTTTCTGGCTCCCACTTCTCCCCTCCAGAGGTACCTGGAAAGTTGAGGGAGGCTTGTGTGAGGATATGCCAGATCCCTCCTCTAAGGATCTGACAAGAAGTCCCTTGTGTTTTCCATAAACAAGTCCTTCCCCAACCATCTCTATTTCCTAACTGCCTCCTAGCTTTTTCTTCCCTTTTTAGCTGAGCTCCTTATGGAACAGTCCAGCACATCTCTGCCCGTCTCAGACACTTTTTGGCCAAGGGATAAACTAAGTGGATTGATAGTATAATCTAGAGAAGAAGCAGGCCATTTAATCTCCCCTCTGGGTGCCAGTATCAGGCATTGGTTCAACGAGGGCTTATTTCATGCGCAGCTATACTGGCTGGAGGAACATGGGAAGGAGAGATGCAGCTAGAGCCGCCCTTGCTCCCCAGTCACAGGCCTCTTGTGCTGAAGAGCCGGAAGTCTAGCTTTCACAACGGGGAAAGGGGGGTTTCGACCCCCCTCCTCCTCCCCCCACCCTCACAGACTGACTCTCCCTACACCCCTTGCCCTCCAGGGAAGTCTAGCTTTCACAACGGGGAAAGGGGGGTTTGGACCCCCCTCCTCCTCCCCCCACCCTCACAGACTGACTCTCCCTACACCCCTTGCCCTCCAGCCCTTTCCTTCTCACTTTGAGCCCTTCCCACCCCCACTCCTCTTCCCACTCTTAGTTCTGCTTTCCAGGGAAAAAAAAAATGTTTCTGTTGGATCTGAAAGGCACCCAGGAGAGGAATCCAAGGAGCCATTGCCAAGGTGGGGCAGCTCAGGGCAAGAAAATGACAGAGGAAAGAGTAGGAATGTGCTGGGGGTAGGGGGGAGTAGCAACACTCAGCCCCACTCCCTTCCCCGAGACCCTAGGACTTGGGTATTTGAGAGAGGGATCGGAGTGGTTGAGCCAGAGTGGGCAGGGTCACCTTAGCTGCTTGGGGTTGGGGAGGGGTTGCTCATGGCTGCTCCGTCCCTTGGCTGGGCTGGCCACTGAGGTCAGCAACTCCGCCCTGATGGGAGAGGGGGAGAGGCCTGGGTCTCCAGAGAAGGACCCACATTCCACCCAAACCTTCAGCCCTCTGCCTGGCTCTGTTACTTGAGGTTGAAGGGAAAGAAAGCTGGGTTCATAGTCATTGTCTGCCTCTTCTCTGATGCTGGGTCCCCTCTCCACTCCCTCTGTGCCTCTGCTTCTCTCTGCTACCCCAAGTCTATTCTTGCTGCCTCTCTCCATGGGTCTAACCAGTACACATAATCCCATCCTGAGCTGGGTTTGGCTTTTGGCAGTTTGGAGAAGTGAGGGGTGGAGGTGACGTGAGCTCCTGGGGCCCAGGCCAGGCCTGGCTCTCTCCCTGGAAAAGTCCCACCCCACCCTCCCCAGCACAGCTGGGCAGGGGGCCGATACAAACACACATTTGTGCCTTTCACCCATTTTCATGCCCCACATCTGGTGTGTCTCACTGCCCAGGGTGAGGAAAGTAGAGGTCAGAAGTGGTCACTCTGGTCTCAGGCTGACCCTGGTCTGGGCAAACCTGGGCTCCTCCTAACCACATCTCCCCACATTGGCCAGTGAAGATCACTTGAACAGAGACCTGTGCAGGGCTAACCCCTTTACACCCAGAAGGGACTCACCTCTGGGAAATGGGTCATTGCTGAGGGAAGGTTGGGTGGGGGCTGGCGGTGGAGAGTCCCTCTCCTGGGTTAGAATTCCTGGGTCTTCATCGTGCCCTCCTCTCCTGGGTCCTGGAGGACCATCCCAACAGGTGTCTTTCTTTTCGGTCACCCTCTTCCGCCATCAGGCTGAGCTGGATCAAGGGCACCCACCTGCATCCCTCCCAGCGACCCTATCATCTCCCAACTCCAGGAGTGAAGCGGGGCGGGGCGGAGCGGGACGATGGGTCGTGAGGGGTACACCTCTTCACCCTCCTAGAGGAGGAAGGCAGGAGGCGCTGGCGCGTGCGGGGAGGTCTCGGGTATGTTTTCCAACTTTACTGTGTGACTTAGATAGGAATTTTGGCTCATTCCCCGCCCGGACGGTGGGGCCAGAGTTCCATGGGATCAGACCCCCTCCCCTGGAATTCGACCCCAAGGGCTGGAACATCCTCGGAGGCAATCAGAGCTGGGGACGGGGTCGTGGCGGGGGCTCGACCACGCAGCGCCGGGAGCGCGGGACGGCGCGAGCGCGCTGGACGTGCGGTCTAACGGGACCCACGGGGAGGGGGCGGCCGGGGCCGAGGGTCTCGGGGAGGGTCTCTACCTGTTCTGCGCGCCCCGGCGGCCCGTTAACCCTCCTGCGCCTCGGCGCTCTGTCGAGGCAGCCTCGCTCCGCGGCGGCCACTCCGGCCCTGAGCCGGGCTCCGGACACTGCCGCCTCCGGCCGCGGC